CTGTGTAACTACCTTGGGACACTCCTTACCCGCAATGCAGAGAAACAAACGTTCTCGTTCTGCTCTGCTGGGAATCTATATAACAGTTAATTGGGTAATATGATGTCTTGCCATGTTTACTGCTTGCCCAAAGGCGTGATTGTAAATTGCAACAGTATTCGACTGCGATATACGTTCAGGTATTGAAATACATAGACATGTACATGTATATGAAACGCATTTGAAAACACTCTGTTTAGTTAGCATGTTGAAACCGACACTTATATTGGAATTAATTAGCTACTGGAGGGGCATGGTGCATTTTGGTACACATCGAACTACTCTCACATCTTTAAACCTGAGCTACATATAATTCTTTTCCATAATTTACAAAAGCATTGAAATGAAATATATCTGTTTAAAGGGTAGTGGTAATCGCGCTGCGCATATGCGATATTTGTGTTGATAAACATTGATTTTCCCACAATCCAATGCGCCCGTCCAATTGAAATCACAAGTATGAGGTTTGACCTGGATGCGACTTGCACTTACCGCCGGTGTCGCCTTCAATTCCTCCCAATCACCTAAAACAATACCTAATCAAAGCTTGATAACGTCTCAGTTTGTACTTGTTAATCTGCTTAACAGTTAACGTCACCGTCTTTGTTAATATGATACCCAATCATCGAACTAATTCAAAATTGCAATTACGTATGCAAACATTCTTACATTACACATTACCAGCGATTGAGTAATCCGAATTTGGTTTGCGTCTCTGTTGGTTATACAAAGAGTCAAAATCATGTCTAAATGTTACTCCGTTCGGTTCAATGGCGATTTGTATCACGTAAGCGTGGCCCAAAATGTACTCGACATAATATGACTAAATAACCTTCCTACTCGCAGCTTTAGACGTTTCTTAATAAGCAATACAAATATGTCGCTCATATAGTATGCTTACTTCGAATTATAATGTCGCATTATATTATAATCAATTTGTAACAGAATAACGTAATATAGAATCACATGCGTCGCTCTTCTAGATATATTCCCTTTTAAATCATCCTGGGGCAAATAACTGAAAATTTAACATAAGATTACATTAACAAATACTAACCAAGCGTCTTCAGACACTAAATGGAAATAAAAGGCTACGTGCCGGATACATGTACAGAATTAACGCGATGTGCTCTTATTAGGTTTTGTTTGACATCACTCTTGGCCTTCAGGTTATATTGAACTTCGAGAGCATTTTATAATGACATACTGAATGACGTTGAGGGTTTCAATTGAGTAAAATGCGTCATGCAACGACTCGGCGATAATAACAATGCCTTTAAGAGAGAATCACACTGATATTTGGAGTGACTATACGACTATATGACATGTTCACGGGACTTCCATTGATGCGAGACTAGTATAAGAAAAAAGATATGTTTTCTTGTTAATTTGATCTGCGATATACGACATATGTAAGTACATTCTGGATGTAAACAACGAATGTGAAAATTGCAATGTGAGACGATTTTTTTTTTATTTTCTGAAATAATATGAATAAAATCTTTTTTTCTTGATGTTGGGGTGAATAACAAACTGCTGATAACGGCATGCCACTCAAGTGCACATTTTATTTGATTTACATCCATTAGTAGTTGTCATGGCGAGTGACAATGAATCAAGAAGGTTGGAGTCTGCGTTTTTAAACGCGTGTCAGGACTGTGATGAAGAGCGCCTCAAGGAATTAATAAAAGAAGGACTAAATAAAAAAGAAGTCAATTATGCAGATAGATCTGAAAAGGTATGTTTTGAAGATTATCTATATAATGAGAATACGTGGTAATACTAGTGCGAGTGAATACTAGTATTCAAAACCATTATGCACGGCATGAAGATTATACATGTGTTCATTTCTAAATGTTCGTTGCAATAAATAAATTCTTATGGCGTATCAAAACATTCTGAATGTGTATGTACCCAAATAGGGCAGATTGGATTGCATATTCACACGCAATTGATATATTACACTGTAGGTAATTACGGACATTGAAACTCTACTATAAGACAGCATCATGTTTTCAATTACACCAGCATATCTTCCATACGCTTGAGTCGTTCGTGTGACCTTCGAAAATTCAAATATGGCGAATAATCGTTTTTAGTCCGGCATGCAGCTCTAAAGAATTTATAAAACTCAATCATTTAAGTCGACACATGTCAGGTAAAGCGTTGCTCTTATGAATAGATGAAAAGGGTAAAGCGTACGAATGTGCCAATTAGAACAGGGGCGGAATACGCAAATGCCGCGTATGTACGTGTAATTTCAATTTAGCATCCGACGATTAAACAACAAATGTGTACATGACGATGGTAACATGGTGTAGTCTAGTTGCCATAAGTCAATTATGACTGCTTGTCAATGGTGTGGGAATTCTGCACCAATTATTAACCGAAGGCAAGACTGAAAAATTAATCCTGTCTCTATTGACGTCATAACTGGATTGTGATCACTGCCGACAAGGTAATTCCACGGTGAAAATGAGCTTAGTACATTACAATCAAAACCGTTCAACCTGCAACTAACAGGCCAACAACTGATACAATTTATTGTAGAAGTCTTTTTAGACGTATGCCGAATGATAACATACGATTGTATGAAGTTGATTACGTATGCTGTATTTTACCTGAACATCGTAACAATATATTTACACACGAAAATTCTAGAATCAAGAAATTGTCCAAATGAGAAATATGCCGGATCCTTTGACGTTGCGTTGTGCTGCGGTCGGGAGTAGCGTGTAAAACAATTATTTATTAATCGCTAATTCATTCCCCTCTATGGAATTTTACATTTAATTGCACAACGACTCGTGAATGAAATAAAATATAATCTTAAACGTTTGAAAAATGTATTGGACAGAACTATATGGACATCCACCTGTTACAGTGTCATTTTACAGATTATGCAAATGTAGACGTCATTCACATTTCATATAATAGCGCCTCACGGACCTCGTAATACCATAATTGAGCATCGACCCGGTTCTGCTGAACACCATAAACTGAGAATCTTCGCAATTCAGGCACATTCGTTAGCGACTTCGATTGTTCATTTTGTTGATGTTCTACACCGGGTATATTTCTTGACAAAGACAATATCGACTTTACTACTGGTGGTTGGCAAATTAAAGCAAATGAATCATAGTAGCTTTAGACGATAATTTGTGTGCCCGGTGTTCCCAGTCGTGATCTCAAACATAGGAATTCAAAACAAATCTAACTGATGATCGGTCTAAAGCAACCAGCAAATTAGCCTTTGAGCGGTAATTGTCATTCACATGATTAATTAACATAGTTTTGTAAACGGAAACAAGCAAGGCAAGTTTTATTTATTCGGCCGTTAACTCAGCTTGGTAGAATTCACACTATAAACCTGTAATCAAACCCAATGGCGCATGCTCTAGTGCGTTTCCCATACAAATGAAACACGAGGTTAAGCGTTGTGAATCATTTCCATGGGAAATCGAGCGCCAAGTCGCGTGTTATTTTCAGTTAAGATATGACGTGATAAAATACCATAAAATATATTGGTTTTAATTTGAAATCGATGGTGTTATTGTAACAGGAATGCTGATTGATGGATCCGACTCCTTCGCGCGTCCAATCAATTCATTCAATATAAATTATATATATAGTTAAATATATAGTTAAATACAGCATTTCCTGACATGACCATGCACGGGTTCGTATTGACAGTCATGGTTGTTCGACTTCAGCAAAATCGCAAAATCGTGCGAATCGGACGATGGTAAAACGCGGTATGGGGGATGTGTTTAAAAGTGTCATAGACGCGTTAAAATGTCTATTTTGTATTAGTGCATCTCCTATAGAACTATCACTACAAACCACATTCAGGCAGTACGGGAACGGAACGCATCGACCTCTGCTACGCGTTCAAACGGTCGTCGTTGCTGCATCGTCCTAACCCCTACATCACACAATGCCCAGTCGTCGGTAACCACTGCCAGGAACAACGGCAATGTGTGTTGGTAGACCCAGATCGCCATAGTTTCAAGGAACCATCATAGCAGGCATGACAGATAACCCACTCGCACTTTCTACTGAATTTATGACAATTCATGAAATCTATCATATACCAATACAACACCGCCTAGACACATGGTGGAACTAGACGTATGGTTAATTTATCACACACAAAAAACATTATTTAATGTGTTATTCCTTCCCATCTTATGCAAAATACAACTTACCTCTTTTTCGCCGTTTATCATATACAAAGATAGCAAATTGGATGGCGAAAATGGTGGTAAGGGTCCTTTCCTGGCAACTGTTTTCTAATTGTATGAAAATAGAATTAAACAACCATATTGTTTTCAATTTCAGGCTTGAGAAATATTTTTTTTTATATATAACACAATCGGTAAAAATGCGAATATCTATGCATGAATATTTGATCACGATATGCTAATCACCTAATTTTCATATTTAATTTGTATGTAAATTTGTAGGATGCTAAAATTGTTCAGTTTGAAAACCAAATTGTGCATCATCGTAATAATAACAGACTTGTGCATTATTATTGTTTTATGATACTTACGTATTTGCATATTTATGAAGTAAAACTGAGCTCTCATTCTAATAAAATTTATTTATAATAATAGACCAATAACGTTGCATTTATGTGATATTCATCCAGAAAAATTTGAAATAATATTTCCTTGGTTATAAATTGATGTTCAATTCACAAGAAACGATATACTATTACATATATACAACTTGCCATGTACATATCTAGTAAAATGATATACAGGTAACATTGGTTGGTAAAATCCTATTGTCTACAGCAAATATATTATTGTGATGTTATTAGCTTAAAATTTATCAAAAAGTCCATGATATCCACAATGACTTAATATTTGAAAAAAAAATATTGAAAATTGTAAGAGATTCTATGATTTAATAATAACTACAATCAATTTAAATCGAAATTATGACTGAGATTTGTGATCGCTGACATTTTTACCAAGAGTGTAATCATAGTTTATGTTATGCCAACACTACAACTGAAGTTTCTGACAATTTTCCAACCAATGTGTTAGGTTGATTTGAAAATTTCTAAAAACGTTAAAGTTTAACATTTAATTAGATTTAAAAAACTGTGCCTCGGCAAATGTATATTTCACTTCATTTATCAGTAAGCTTCATTCAAAGTATTGATGTTAGAATTTGCGAATAACGCCTTTTATTCTAGAAACGTTGTCCAATATTTGAATACATTAGCAAATACGTAGAAGAAGTATGTGCGATGCTGCCTTATATTTAGAATTTTCTTAAAAAGAAAGAAAGATCTGAAAATGCTTAGTCTAGTTAAGCCATTGCGTTAATGCTACCATTATATAAAATGGCAATAGAATAAGTAGGTTGACACTGAATGAAAAAAATGATTGATGACAAATCATATGTACAGACTGACGTTGGATATTCCACAAATATGTGTACACTTGTTCAATGGTGCAAATTACATGCACACGCATAAATTAGATGATCAAATCGATAACATATCCTTATTCTGGAGGTAATTTAGACCTATATTTTATGTGTCAAAAGTCAAAAATTTCACAAAATATTCGGTAACTTTGATGGAAAATGACTATATATCAGAATATTCTCCGTTTTAACCTGGTTAATTCTTAAAATAAAAGAAATTTAATAGCTTCATGTTGATAATATTCAACAAGCAAAATGCCCTCAATATGTTTCACTTTCAATATAAGTACCTCATTGTTAAATTTATCCTTCAAACTAGACAACGTGTTTTCAATCAGCAATGTTGTCATACTAATAACATATTTTTTGATTTAAGATTTGTTTTCATTATATATTTTATTATTGGACAGCTCATTAGTTTCCGTCACGCAAAAAAGTTGTCGTGATTGTAAATACACATTATAAACATTCTTTTGAGTTCTCCGAAACATGATAATTTTTCAGCACCGTAAACATTATATACTGTTTTGTCTGGTATGTTTTTTGCATCTTATATTTGCTAGTAGAATAACATTTTAACTGTCATTAATCCTTCTATGTCATTATTTTGTTTTAAAAAAAGCATTGTACGCATACTATCTAAAACTGAACTTCAGATGTTTACATAGTTAGAAATGACATACATGCTTATCAACTATCTGGTAGGTTGACAATAAAAGTGATAATTCATGGAAATAATCTTGTGTAGTATAAAATATGAGACGTTTCATACTATTAAATGATAAGTTTCCGAAAATAAAGTAAATCATTGCAAATGGCTGAGATTATATCATGGTGCAAAACGATCAATCTCGATCAATTCGTATTTTACGTGGGTGTAATAAGCTACAATATCAAATATGACTTCACATTTGTTGGCCTTGTTGTAGTAACAGTAAACTGTTATCATGTTAATTATTGATCAAACTAAGCTATGGCATTTTATAACTCCTGCAATTGTTACACATGTGACGCGGTGTTCTAAAAGAACTTGTTAGGATGAGAGGATTTCTCATTTTGAGATAATATTATTGAAGAAGCTCCACTTGTGGATTGGAATCAGATGAAAACTGTTTTCTTGCCAATGTTAGATTATTGTTTCATAATTTGAGAGTACACTTCTAAACGCAATTTGTTATCCCATTATCCGAGTTCATGTTGAATGCCTGAATAATAAGAATTTGTGTATCATGATTTCACCATTTCGTAATTTGTCTTGTTAACATGCAAAGCCGAGAATCAAAAACAAAAAAG